ACTCCCTCGTGATTGAAAAAGTCAGCCGCGTCCTCAGTTGCCAGCCCTTTCCACATGCACCACTGTACCTCTACACTTTATTTCCGCAGCTCCTCTGAGTCTCAGTGTGCTTTTCTCTTTCCTTCTAGTTGTATAATTTCCACTCAGCCAGCCTTCCTGTGGTGCTGGATGATGTCTGTTTTGTCTTTTAGTTGTATTTTTGAAGTGGTTGTGCAAGGCAGCAAATTCCAGTGTTTACCTATGCCGCCATCTTGGTCTCTCTCTCCAGTAAGTTTTTTTCTGCTTGCTGGTTTTCAGTTCAGAATACAGCACAATTACATTTTTTCTTAGTGACATTCTATACAGTAATTATCCCTGAAATGTTTTGGAATGTAAGATAACATTTGCCACTCGTTACTTATTTTTAACTGTTTAAAAAGTAGTTTTGATTTAGATGAATACTGAGTAGAAAAAGTAAATCTGTTTGTTTTTTTATATGGAGAAAATATTAGTAATATCTTGTAAGAAGTTATCCTATCTAATAAAAGAGAAACATGGTAATTAGTGTACGTCCGCTACCCTTCCCATTGGCTAATCAGCGAGATATGCAAATTAACTGCCAGCCAAGATGGTGGCCAGCAGCCAGGCAGCTTGAAACTAACATGAGGCTAGCTTGCTTCAGTGACGGAGGAAACCAACGTTCTCCGCCTGCTTTGTCGGCCTCTGAGCTTGCAGTTTGAAACATTGTTACAAATATAGAAGCTAAACCAAACCCCAGAAACCTGCTTTCAGCCCGCCGGGATCTCAGAGCTGGAGTTGATACAGTGTTTTGATTAGAGAACACAAACAAACCAGATACCTGCTTTCAGCAGCAGAGGCCTTAGAGTTGGAGTCAGAGCTAAAGCTGGCCCAGAATTTAAAAAAAGAAGAAGAAAAGGACCAGTTGGGCGCTTCAGTCACCCGCCAGCCTGAAAACAGCCCTCAGCCCCTCACCCAGACTGGCCAGTCACCCCAGTGGGGACCCCCACCCTGAAGGGTGTGTGACCAGCTGCAAACAGCCATCATCCCCTCCCACAGGCTGGCCAGGCACGCCAGTGGGGACCCCCACCCTGAAGGGTGTGTGACCAACTGCAAACAGCCATCATCCCTTCACCCAGGCTGGCCAGGCACCTCAGTGGGGACCCCTACCCTGATCCAGGACACTCTTCAGGGCAAACCAGCCGGCCCCCACCCATGCACCAGGCCTCTATCCTATATAGTAAAAGGGTAATATTCCTCCCAGCACCGGGATGAGCGGAGCTGCGAGGCATCCCAGCACCGGGATCAGCGGAGCTGAGAGGCCTCCCGGCACTGGAGCTGCGAGGCATCCCAGCACCGGGATCAGCGGAGCTGAGAGGCCTCCTGGCACCGGGATCAGTGTGACTGGGGGCAGCGCCCAAACCCCCTGATCTCCCTGCGGCTCTGTGTGTGACAGGGGGCGGGGCCACAACCTCCCTATCCGCCCTGCTCTGTTCGTGACAGGGGAAGGCGCCCCAACCCCCTGATCAGCCCTGTTCTGTGCCTGATAGGGGGGAGCTCCCCAACCCCCTGATCTGCCCTGCTCTGTGTGTGACAGGGTGCGGCGCCCCAGCCCCCCCCACCCCCCCACGGGCCCTGCTCTGTGTGTGACGGGGTAGAGCCATAACCTCCGCATCGGCCCTGCCCTGAGTGTGAGAGTGGCGGCGCCCCAACCCACTGATCGGCCCTGCTCCGTGGGTGATAGAGGGCAGCGCCCCAAGCCCCCCTCCACGGGCCCTGCTCTGTGTGTGATGGGGGAGAGCCATAACCTCGCCATCGGCCCTGCCCTGAGTGTGACAGTGGTGGCGCCGCAACCCCCTGATCGGCCCTTCTCTGTAGGTGATAGAGGGTGGTGCCCCAACCCTCTGATCCGCCCTGCTCTGTGCATGACAGGGGGGAGCTCCCCAACCCCCTGATGGGCCCTGCTGTGTGCGTGTCAGGGTGGCGCCGCAACCTCCCCATCGACCCTGCCTTGAGTGTGACAGGTGCCCCAACCCCCCAGTCAGCCCTACCCTGAGCGTGACTGAGGGTGGCATCGCAACCTCCCGATCCACCCTGCTCTGTGCATGACGGGGCGGCGCCCCAACTCCCCAATCGGCCCTGCTCTGAGCCTGACCAGGGGCTGCACCTAGGGATTGGGCCTGCCCTCTGCCACCCGGAAGCAGGCCTAAGCCAGCAGGTCGTTATCTCCCGAGGGGTCCCAGACTGTGAGAGGGCACAGGCTGGGCTGAGGGACCCCCCCCCCCCCCGCATGCACAAATTTTTGTGCACCGGGTTTCTAGTACATTTATAGTTTACTAGAGCCCCAGTGCCCGAAAATCGTGCACCGGTAGGGTCTCTAGCGCCTGCTGGCTGGGGCCTTGCTCCCTTTCTCTGGCTGCCTGCCATCGACACCACCACTGCTGCTCAGGGCCTCCCTCCCTTCCCCCGGCCAGCCCCGCTCCCTGGAGGAACTCCCTGGTCATGGGGATAATTTGCATACTACACTTTTATTATATAGGATGAAGTTTTTAAATAGCTTTATTGATAATAAATTCACATACCATACTCTTTACCTACTTAAAGTTTATAGTTCACTTCTTTTTGCATCACCACAATCTCATTTTAGAATATTTTTGTTACCCCTAAAAGAAACCCTGTACTCATTAGCAGTCATTCCCCTTTCCCTGCTGCCCCAGGCAACCACTGATTTCTGCCTCTGGATTCACCTATTCTGGACATTTCATTTAAATGATATCATTCAAAATGGGGTCTTTTGTGACTGGCTTCTTTCTCTTAATATGTTTTCAGGTCTCATCAATGATTTAGCATGTATCATGTTTTGTTTACTCATTCATCAGTTGATGGATATTTATATTGTTTCCACTTTTTGGTTATTATGAATACTGCTGTTCTACATTGGTGTAGGAGTATCTGAGTCCCTGCTTTTGATTCTTTGGGTATATACCTTGGAGTGGAATTGCTGAATCTTATGGTAACTCTGATTAACTTTTGACAAACCACCAAACTGTTCCCTAGCCACTGAACCATTTTACATTTCCATCAGCAGTGCATGAGGGTTCTAGTTTGACCACATCCTTGCTTACACTTATTTTTCTTTCTTTTAGTTTTGATTTGCATTTCCCTAATGGTTAAAGATATTGAGCATCTTTTCATGTGCTTATTGACCATTTGTATATCTATTTGGGAAAATGTATTCAAATTTTTTGTTCATTTTTATTATTGACTTGTAGGATTTTGAATCTAGACCCTTACTAGATATGTGATTTGCAGATATTTCCCCCCACTCTTTGGGTTGTCTCTTTACTTTTTTATTGGTGATGTTATAGCACAGAAGTTTTAAATTTTGATATAGTCCAATGTATCTATTTTTCCTTTTGTTGTTTGGGCTTTTGGTGTCAAATCCAAAAAACATTATCTAACCTAAGAGTAAGGACTTACTCTTACGGGGTTTTTCTTTTTTTCTAAGAATTTTGTAATTTTAACTCTTAGATTTAGGTCCATGGTCAATTTTGAGTATTCTGTGAGTTTGGGTCCAAGTTGTTTTGCTTGTGGGTGTCCATTTGTCCCATCATCTTTGTATAGTCTGGACATCTTTGATAAAAATGAAATGGCTCTAAACATAGGATTTTTTTCCTGTGCCCTGAATTCAGTTCCATTGATCCATATGTTTGTCCTTAACCCAGTACTACAGTGTATTGATTACTGTAGTTTTGTAGTAAGTTTTGAAATTGGGAAGTGTGAGTTCTCTTAATTTTGTTCTTTTTCAATATTTTTTTTCATTTTTTATTGTGGTAAAATATACATAACATAAAATTTAATATCAATAACCATTTTAACTGTACAATTCAATGGCAATGAGTACATTCCTATAGTTAGTTATGCAATTATCTCCACCATCTATCTGTGGAACTCCTTTCGTCTTGAAAAACAGAAACTTTGTATCTGCTAAATAATAACTTCCCATTCTCCCCTTTCAAGCCCCTGAAAACTCCCATTCTACTTTATATCTCAATAATTTTGCCTGTCCCAAATATCTCATATAAGTGGAATCATATGGTATTTGTTTTTTGTTTTTGTTTTTTTGTGGCTGGCTTATTTCACTTATCAGAGTGTCATCATAATTTACCCATCTTGTAGCATATATCAGAATTCCCTTTTTAAGGATGAATGATATCTCACTGTATGTATATAGCACATTTTGCTTATCCATTTATCCACTGCTAGACACTTGGGAAGCTTCCACATCTTAGCTTCTGTGAATAATGCTGCTATGGGTATGGGTGTACAAATATATCCTTACAACCCTGCTCTCAATTTTTTTGGATGTATATCCAGGAGTGGAATTGCTGGGTAACATGGTAATTCTATTTTTAATTTTTTTGAGAAATCACCATATTGTTTTCCACAGTGGCTGTACCATTTACAGTCTCACCAACAGTGCACAGGGGTTCTACTTTCTCCACATCCTTGCCAACCCTTGTTTTGTTTTATTATTTCATTTGTGTCTAGCTTCTTTTAAAAAAATGTAAATCAATTTTTATTTTTCAATTACAGTTGATATATAATATTATATTAGTTTCAGGTGTACACCCCAGTGATTAGTCATTATATAACCTAAGGGATCATCCCAATAAATCTTGTATTCTCTGACACTATACATAGTTATCAGAATATTATTGACTATCTTCTGTTTTGCTTGTTTTTTTAAGTAGCCATCCTAATGGGTGTGAGGTGGTATCTCATAGTTTTGTTCTCATTTCCCTGATAATCCTATATAATAAAAGGGTAATATGGAAATTGTCCCCTGGACAGGGAGTTCGACCAGAGTTCAACCAGGGGGCAGGGCCAGCCCGGCAAGTGCCCTCGGTCCCCCCTTGCTCCACTTCCGGTTGGCCCCACCCCTAACTGCCCCCCCCCCACCTCCCACGTCCCCTCCCCCTGGCTGGCCTGGCCTGATCGGCCCCAATGGGGACAGGCCAGCCAGACCCCACCCATGCACGAATTCATGCACTGGGCCTCTAGTTAATGATATTGAGCATCTTTTCGTGTGCTTTTTGTCCAGTTGTATGTGTTCTTTAGAAAAATGTCTGCTGAGCTCTTTTGCCCATTTTTGAATATAGTTGTTTAGCTTTTTGTTGTTGAATTTTTGGAGTTCTCTATATATTCTGGATATTAATCCATTATAAAATAAATGATTTGCAAATGTTTTCTCCTATTCTGTGGGTTGTCATTTTACTCTGTAGATAGTCTTTTAATACATAAAATTTTAAGATTTTCCTGAAGATCTAATCTGTTTTTCCTTTTGGTTCCTATATCTTTGGTGTTATGTCCAAGAAATCACTGCTAAATCCAGTGTCTGAAGCCTTTGTCTTATGTACATTTTGATCATGGATCCATTTTGAATTAATTTTGAATTAATTCTCTTCCATATGGATATCCATTTTTCAGCAACTTGTTGAAAAGATGCTTTTTCCTGTATTGAATGGCCTTCACATCCTTGTCACAATCATTTGACCATATATATGAAGGTTTATTTTTGGACTAGTTATTCCATTTTATTGGTCTATATCAGTGGTCAGCAAACTCATTAGTCAACAGAGCCAGATATCAACAGTACAACAATTGAAATTTCTTTTGAGATCCAAATTTTTTAAACTTAAACTATATATGTAGGTACATTGTTATTAACTTAATTAGGGTACTCCTAAGGCTTAGGAAGAGCCACACTCAAGGGGCCAAAGAGCCACATGTGGCTCGCGAGCCACAGTTTGCCGACCACTGGATATGGTTGTCTTTATGTCATTACTACACTGTTTTGATTACTCTAGGTTTCTAGTGTTTTGAAATCAGGAAATATGAATCCTCTAACTTTATTCTTTCTTAAGAATTGTTTTGATTATTCTGTGGCTCATTGAATTTAAACTCTGAGTACATCTGGTATTAACTTTCATTTTTCTAATATATTGGGATGTTTTAGAAATACTAATATGTGTGTGTATGTGGTTCGAAGTTACTAAGTTTTTTAGGTAACTGGCTCACTTTCATTCATCAAACCTCTTTATTTTAATCATTGTGGATGAAAATCATTCTAAAATGTATTACCTAATTTATATATAATATATGTATGTGTTGGCTCCTGGACTAAATAGCTATGGTTTTAGAGTTCATTTGCCTATGTTGTTTTCCTTTATTCTTCCCTTCTTGTCAGCTGTCACTTGAAAAAGACACTTAATGTTGTTTAAACTATAGGAGTAATAAGTATCATAGTAGAACATGCAAATAAATTCTAATAAAATAAAATTCACCTTATTTTGGCTACCTAGACTTTTTTCTAGGCATTTTAAAAAATATATATTTTTATTGATTTCAGAGAGGAAGGGAGAGGGATAAAGACATAGAAACATAGCTGCCTGCCGCTGTTGTGTGGGGTGCCGCTGGTGGCCGAGTGAGCGTGACTGCGCTGCGCAGGGTGCTAGGAGGTATTGTTGCTGTGCAGGCCCCTTTGTGAGCAACAGACCAGCCTAGTGGCTGGCAGCAGGACACCCCAAGTCTGCATGCTGAGGAAGATGGGTGAGGCGGTGGCCAGAGTTGCAAGGAAGGTCAACGAGACGGTGGAGAGTGACTCTGACACCCTGGATCTGGCGGAGTGCAAGCTGGTGTCTTTCCCCATTAGCATCTGCAAGGTCCTGTGGAATGTCACTGACCAGATCCACCTCATCACGCTGGCCAACAATGAGCTCAAGTCCCTCACCAGCAAGTTCATGACCACATTCTGTCAGCTTCAAAAGCTCTGCCTGGAAGGGAACTTCCTGTACCATCTCCCCAACGAGGTCAGTGCCCTGCAGCACTTCAAGGCCATCCACCTGTCTCGGAACCAGTTTCATGACTTCCCTGAGCAGCTCACCCCCCTGCCGGCACTGGAGACCATCATTTTGGAGGAGAACGAGATTGTGGATGTGCCCATGGAGAAGCTAGCCGCCATGCCTGCCTTGTGCAGCATCAATCTCCACTTCAACCCACTAAACGCTGAGATGCGCGTCATTGCCCTGCCACTCATCAAGTTTGACATGCTCATGCCTCCAGAGGGCACATGGGCTCCCCCACCTTAGGCCTCCCTCCCTCCTCATGCCCACCCTGAAGGGACAGAGGCCACTTGCCTGGCACCCTGAGGGGAGGGAGCCCCAAGGGCCTATGGGAGGCCTAGCTTGGGGGCCTGGGGATAGGTGGGCAAACAGCGCGTGGGAGGGGGTGCAGCAGTCCAGGATAGATATAGCTTAGAGCTGTAGAGTTCTGGAATACCCAGAGGAGGAGGCAAGGTAGGGGCCAGAGCCAGGATTCTGGGCATTCATAGCCTCTATGCAAACTTGGGCAGACCCCCACCTTCTCTGAACTTACAATTTTGGGAAAAGGGTAGTAGTGGCAGTGGGTCTCTGCCTCCTTGGGCTCCTTGGAGGCTTTTTAGGGAACACACGTCTCCAAGTCTTTGAATCCTTGGTATCTTCTGAGCTTGCAGCTGAGCATTGCTGAGCATTTCTTGGGCCCCTGTGGGTTGAGGCCTTGCTTCTAGTGCTGAGAGCCAGTCACTGCCCTGAGACAAACAGAAGACAACCTGCATCTATTTATTGCTTCCTGGGAACCACCCCTTCTCTGTGCCCCATCCTGAGCCCTGTAGATCCCTGGATTGGCAGGAGCCTGAACCAGGAGTTGTGGGAAAGCTGTGGAGAGAGTGCGGAGGCTGCAGCAGGGCTGACAGTGTTTACATAGGAGCCCCAGGGCCATCAGGCCAGGAAACGGGAGCAGATCAAGGTGGCTCTGTCCTTCCTCATGATTAAGAAATTGCTGGAGTGACCAGCTGCACCTGGCATCACCCCTTGAACTACAGGAGAGTGGCCCAGAGAGAAAGAAAGCCATTTGTGCCTGTGCCTCCCTCTGCAGTCTCCCTCTGGCGGCAGACTGGCTGCCTTGTCATTGGTTCATCTGGATGCAGGCGGCACTATGCACCGTTGGATTGTAGCTGGCCAGCCCCCGGGTCACCACTCAAAGCCCTGATAACCTCGTCATTTCTAGGCTCTGAACCTGGAGCCTGGCCAGGCAGTAGGGTGGCCTGCCATCCATGTTTGCTCGGGACTTTTCAGTGCTAACACAGGGACAGGACCTGCAAACAGGGACAACTGGTGGCTCCACCAGGTGAGGGCCTGGGGCTCTGGCTTCCTGTGACAATACCTCTGGTTTGGAGAACCCCTGACCTCTTGATCCTGCAGGTATCTACCTCCTACCTTCTCATCTGTGGAGCAAGCAGATCAGAGCCCACCCTGGTCTGGACTTTTGTTGGAGTCTGTGGGAGATGCCTTAGTCCCAAGGACTTGGGGCAAACCAGACCACCCAAATCCTACATCCGTGGGCCAGTGGCCACTGTTCCACACTCAGAGCACTGACCTTTTCTCAGAATGTACCAATTTCCTTCCTCTTCCCCTTTCCCTTCCCCAGCCCTGAGGCTGCCCTGCCCAGGCCTCCTGTCTCTTGGCAAGAAGCTGACAGGTTGGGAGATTGTAGGCATGTCACCAAGCACTTGAGAACTCAGCGTCCCAGGAGATGCCTGTTCACTCTGCTCATCTCCGAGGTCTGGTGGGTCAAGCTCTGGGAAAAGGGTTTTCAGGGCAAGGAGGCCAGATAAGATCTCCAGGGCTACTGAGTTCAGCCGGGGACAAGTGAGGGCTGCAGGCTAGCCCAGCCTGGCCTGACCCCACTCACCGTGTCCTGGAGTGGGGTTTCTCCTTGTTGAAGAAGGGGTGCATTTGCCTGATATGCAAAAAGGCATTGTATGGCCAGAGCCTGCAACTCAGTGTGGTGTGCATCAGCACCTATGGGAGTTTGTTAGAAACACATAACCCCAGGCCCAATCCCGGACCTCTGGGATCAGAACCCGCACTCCAAGAGATCCCCAGGGATTCCTACGAGCACTTTACTGTTTAAGAAGCAAGGCCTAGCCCTAACCAGTTTGGCTCAGTGGATAGAGCGTCGGCCTGCGGACTCAAGGGTCCCAGGTTCGATTCCGGTCAAGGGCACGTACTTTGGTTGTGGGCACATCCCCAGTAGGGAGTGTGCAGGAGGCAGCTGATCGATGTTTCTCTCACATCAATGTTTCTAACTCTCTATCCCTCTCCCTTCCTCTCTTTAAAAAATCAATAAAAAACATTAAAAAAAAAAAAAAAAAGAAGAAGAAGCAAGGCCTGGGGTGGCCCTGGGGATGGCCTAGGAGTGAAAGGTGGAGTTTCTCAGCTTTCCCCCAACACCAAGTCTGTGCCCATCCCCCTCCCTTAAGCAGCCCTTCACTCCCACCCGTGGCCTCATAGATTTTTTCAGAGTCTGTGTGGCACTCCGGTGAAGCGAGTGACCTGGAGTCCCCAGGAGATGAGGGTTGGATTTGACTGGCCCTCTAGCCTCCCTTTCTGGTTCAACCCTGAATGCCAGCTGCTACTTCCCCAGGTCCTCATCTCAGGCCTTTCAGAGAGGTTGTTTCTGAAAGCTGCATCCTACTCTGCTTGGAGAGTGTGCCCTGGCCTCTGGGAAAGCTGGGCAGCAGAGAAGCCCCAGATCAGAGCACAGTGTGAGCCCTTAGCTTCAGTCTGCAATAAAGAATGCATTGGTTTAAAAAGAGAAAAAAAAAAGAGAGATAGAAACATCAATGATGAGAGAGAATCATTGATTGGCTGCCTCCTGCATGACCCACACTGGGGATCGAGCCCGTGACCCTGGGCATGTGCCCTGACCGGGAATCAAACCCGGAACACTTCTGTCTATAGGCCGTTGCTCTATCCACTGAGCCAAATGGGCTAGGGCTCTATAAATCAGATTATATTGTGCCTTTTGTTTGAAACTTGCTTCATTCCATCAACAGTAGGTTATGTATATTCCATGTCATTAGCCATCTTTCTAACCTTTGCATTTAGTTTTTAAAATATATACTTTATTGATTTTTTACAGAGAGGAAGGGAGAGGGATAGACAGTTAGAAACATCAATGAGAGAGAAACATCGATTAGCTGCCTCCTGCACACTCCCCACTGGGGATGTGCCTGCAACCAAGGTACATGCCCTTGACTGGAATTGAACCTGGGACCCTTCAGTCCATAGGCCGATGCTCTATCCACTGAGCCAAACCGGTGAGGGCTGCATCTAGTTTTAATGTGTGTATTTATTGTATTGCGTGGCATAATTTTTTAATATAATTTGCATTTACATTTTACTTTTACATTCAAGTTTTTCATTGCAATTAAATTTTTATTCTCATAACATTATTAGGTATGAGATTGACATCTTATGCAGTATGTTAGCTTTATGAATTTAAACAGTTTGTGTAATCTCTCTGAGCATGTCACATTTCTCTGTAAAATGAATTTACCTCACATGTTCTTTTTGTATACCATAATAAGATAAAGCATGTAAAAGAAGTTTTAAAGTTCTTACAAGGCCATATAAGTTACATGTACTTTAATGTATTTATTAAATTGATCTCACTTGTCCAGTCATTAACGATTTTCTATTTTTCCAGTGTCCAAGTATGCTAATTCAAATTTTTAAAGAAGATTTTAAGATTGTTAATAGATAATTCTCCTAAATACAGGGGGGGGACAAAAGTAGGTTTACAGGTGTGAGTATGCAAAACACAGTTTATTCTTGTATTACTAGTGGCCTGGTGCACGAAATACGTGCACAGGGGGGTGGGGCAGGGTGTCCCTCAGCCCAGCCTGCACCCTCTCCAATCTTGGACCCTTTGGGGGATGTCCGACTGCCGGTTTAGGCCTTATCCCAGGATGTCCAACAGGTCTGATCCCATGATGTCCAACTGCCGGTTTAGGCTCTATCCCGCCTAACTACTCCCCTGCTGGCCTGATCACCCCCAAGGCTTTTATTAGTATACAAGAGGCCTGGTGCACAAAAATTTGTGCTCTCAGGGGGGAAAGGGGGGGTCCCTCAGCCCGGCCTGTGCCCTCTCGAAGTCTGGAACCCCTCGGGAGATAACGCCCTGCTGGCTTAGGCCTGCTCCCGGGTGGCAGAGGGCAGGCCCAATCCCTAGGTGTAGCCCCTGGTCGGGCTCAGAGCAGGGCCGATTGGGGAGTTGGGGCGCCGCCCCCTGTCATGCACAGAGCAGGGCGGATTGGGAGGTTGCGATGCCACCCTCAGTCACGCTCAGGGTAGGGCCAATTAGGGGGTTGGGGCACTGCCCCCTGTCACACTCAAGGCAGGGTCGATAGGGAGGTTGCGGTGCCACCCCCTGTCATGCACAGAGCAGGGCCGATCAGGGGGTTGGGGTGCTGCCCCCTGTCATGCACAGAGCAGGGCCCATCAAGGGGGTTGGGGCTCCGTACCCTGTCACGCACAGAGCAGGGTCGATCAGGGGGTTGGGGAGCTCCCCCTGTCACGCACAGAGCAGGGCCGATCAGGAGGTTGGGGAGCTCCCCCCTGTCACGCACAGAGCAGGGCCCATCAGGGGGTTGGGGAGCTCCCCCCTGTCACGCACAGAGCAGGGCGGATCAGGAGGTTGGGGCGCCGCCCTCTATCACCCACAGAGCAGGGCCGATCAGGGGGTTGGGGCGCCGCCACTCTCAGACTCAGGGCAGGGCTGATGGGGAGGTTATGGCTCTACCCCGTCATACACAGAGCAGGGCCCGTGGGGTGGGGGGTTGGGGCGCCGCACCCTGTCACACACAGAGCCACAGGGCAATCAGGGGGTTTGGGCGCTGCCCCCTGTCATGCTGATCCCGGTGCCGGGAGACCTTGCGGCTCCGCTGATCCCGGTGCTGGGAGGCATATTACCCTCTTACTATATAGAATAGAGGCCTGGTGCATGGGTGGGGGCTGGCTGGTTTGCCCTGAAGGGTGTCCCGGATCAGGGTGGGGGTCCCCACTGGGGTGCCTGGCCAGCCTGGGTGAGGGGCTGATGGCTGTTTGCAGCTGGTCACACCCCCTTCAGGGTGGGGGTCCCCACTGGGATGCCTGGCCAGCCTGGGTGAGGGGCTGATGGCTGTTTGCAGCTGGTCACACCCCCTTCAGGGTGGGGGTCCCCACTGGGGTGCCTGGTCAGTCTGGGTGAGGGGCTGATGGCTGTTTTCAGGCTGGGACTGAAGCTCCCAACTGCTCCTTTTTTTTTCTTTCTTTTTTTTTTTTTTTCTGAGCCAGCTTTAGCTCTGAGGCTCCAGCTCTTAGGCCTCCGCTCCTGAAAGCAGGTATCTGGTTTGTTTAGGTTCTACAATCGAAACTCTGTATCAACTCCAGGTCTGAGATCCCGGCTAGCTGAAAGCTGGTTTCTGGGGTTTTGTTTAGCTTGTATTTTTGTAACTATGTTTCAAACTGCCAGCTCAGAGGCCTGCAGCGGCAGGCGGGGAACGTTGGAGTCCTCCGTCACTGAAGCAATCAAGCCTCATGTTAGTTTCAAGCTGCCTGGCTGCCGGCCGCCATCTTGGCTGGCAGTTAATTTGCGTATCGCCCTGATTAGCCAATGGGAAGTGTAGTGGTCGTACGCCAATCACCATGTTTCTCTTTTATTAGATAGGATATATTACCCTTCACAGAAAATTTCAGTAACCCTGCTTTACAATAAGGGCTTGCCGATTGGATCATTGGGGCCAGTCACCAAGATTTCCTTTCTTTGAATACTGGAGGGAATAATTATCTTGTCTTTAAGTTGCCCTGAACATCAAATGAAATAATGATTTAGAAAAGTATAAAAGCACCATATAAAGACAAATGTCTTTTTCATGTACTGAAAAGATAATAAAGTGGTAAAATGAAAAATACTATTTTTATTCTCCCCTTTCCTTCCTTTACAGCCTTTATTTAAACTTTGAAATTTATAAAAATTTCACTCCTACTTTCATTTCTTTACATTCAATATTATTTTGTATTAGTTTCAGGTTTATTAGTTACAGAATAGTGGTTAGACAACCATATACTTCACAAAGTGTTCCCTGATATTTCCAGTACCCACCTGATATCATACCATCATTACAACACTATTGACTATATTCCCTATTTAAGTGACAATAGGTTTACAGGTTCTTTCCAGTCTTTCTTTTGTGTTGCTCGCCCTTTCTTTTCTTTCTCATGTCTTCACTCATTTTCTTTATATAGTATCTCAATTGGCCCTCAAAGCTCAGTGAAGGCACTGGGACACGCTTAATCCATTTTACAGACCAGGAAACTGAGGCCAGTTCAAGTTGGCTGCGGAACTTGACTTAGCGCGCAGGGAGCCCTCACAACTGCACTCTCCGCCCTTCCTAAGGGACAGCCTTGGGGCAAACAGAACAAACCTCCTTGTGAGGCTTTCAAGCCTCGTTCTGAAGCACCTCTTCATCGTGGATGCTCCACATTCTTTCCTCTCCCCTGTCCCCCACCCCCATTCTTTACTGCCCCCCCCCCTTCTGGGGAGCAGGTGGTAGGCTTCGCACTCACCGTGCAGGCGTGCACCCCCATGGGGCGGGACAGGAACTGGGGGCAGGGTGGGCGCAGGCTTGCTTTTGGGCCAAGGTAGGAGCAGGAGTCCTGGCCTCTCAAGAGCGCAGGCCGCGGCCAGGCCCGGTTAGTGCTGGGAACTTCACCAAACCACTGCAGTGGGGTACCTAGCAGTGTGGCACCCCTCCACTGAGGTGGAACCGCCCCTCAACTCCCACCTCAGGGCTGCAAGTCCCTGCCCCTCTGCCGGGCATTCTTCCACGCTGGCAGTCATTCCCTCTTGTTTCCCGCATCTTGGGGCCACTGCAGAACCTCACTCTCCCCAGGCGAGGCAGATCCCTGCCCGCCAGCACCCTGCCCCTGCCCAAGCCCCTTCCAGTGCACCCTGCCTCTGCGCTGCTCTGTGTCCTTTGGGCTGCCCGCCTCCTGGCCAACTGCTTCACCAAAGCTGTGGCGCTCACCCAGGAGCTGCCCCTCAGGCAGAGGCCTGTCCGCGTACCTGCAGACCCAATGGCTGGCCGCTTTGCTGAAGCTTCCTCTTCCTTCAGGCGCTCTCCTCAGACCCCTGGGAGCTTGGCTT